GTTCTTATTCGGTTCTTCGGTCGAGAACCGAGAACCGAACCAAACCATTCGGTTCTCGATTCGGATACCCGTTCGGGTATTTCATTTTAAAAAACCCGCTCGGTCCTGTTCGGTTCGGTTCAGTTCGGTTCGGTTCGGACATTTTGCCCAGCCCTAATCAAAACCATATGAGACTGAGATCGTAGTTAATATTCTGCACTGCATTTTAGGATAGTTATCAAACGTTTGACCATTTTAAAAGCCAAATGGACTCAAGAAATAAATGGGGACTTGTTTGTAACTCGGTGAATAGGTTGGGGATTAACTATGTAAATATCCCTTAATTATTCACTGCTCACTCTCTCCCCTTACTTCGGCTCTCTCTCTCTCTGTGGCTGACTATTGCCAGCTCTACCTTCCTTTCTCCCTAAACCTTTTGCTTTCTCGCTCTAAAAACACCTCAACTCTTCACCTATCGTTGTATTTTTCAAGAAAGAGAGAATTTGGAGAGATCTCTTCAAGGTTTGTTGATCAAATGACTCTTAATAGTTCTTCTTTAGATCCCATCTGTTGATCTGAAATGATGTCTATTCTTTTAATAAGTTAATGGTTGTTGATTGTGTGATATTTGATTTTTTTTTCTTAGCAAGCTTAAGTTACATGTTCATATTAGTTTTTATATATATTTTTGCTTTTTTTCTTGAGATCTGTTAATTTTGAATTGGTACGGTAAAGGAAGGATCTTTATGGTGAACTTGAGGTTTTTGTGGGTTTGACTAAAATATCAAATCTTGAGTAACTTTTCTGTTGGGCTGTTGAGATTTTATAAAAATCTTTGAATTGGGATCCTGTTTTATGAGTTCTTATGATCGAACGCAATTAAATTGCTTATTTTAGTTGGTAAGCTTATTGTTAGTAAATGCAATGTTTTGAATTGCTGGCATATGCCACGAGTATCTTGATTACACAGTTGTTTTGGGAGATCATAAGTTTCTGAAGATGAATCCTTGTATTCTACAAGCTGATTGGGGTGTACTACATGCTGGAAAATGGTGCAAGCTTAACTGCAGAGACGTTGATATATAGATGAATAATTTTTTTGAAGAGTTGGTGGTATTATTTGGATCAAGTTTACTTGAGAGATGTCTTGAACTGGAGTAAACCTGCCCATGATATCCAATGTCATTGTCTCACGTAGTCAAGAATAAATGACTGAGTTTCGTCCATAAAGTACACAGCTTTTTATTTATTAGCTTGCTTTGGTCCAAGCTTAACTAAGATGTAGCTCCCTTCTTTTTGTTTTGGTTGTGAAGCAGTGTGAGACCAAAATACCCAACAAGCTTTAACTCTCTCCGAAAAGGAGGCGACTGGCTTTTTTTTAACCTTAAGCTCTAATTCTCACTTCATGCAGCTCTGTTCACTCCCTCTGGGGATTCTTGTTTTATATGATTCAACCTCAGACTCATTTATATGTAGCAGATAACAGCGGGACTTGAGAATTGATTGGGCATACATGGAAGATGTGAGCGTTATGATTTGAGTGATTATTCAAAAATTGTTGATCAGTTGACACCTTTTGCTAGTAGTTTATGGATGTTCCAAGAAATCCGATGCAGCTGACTTCAATTTCCTTCTTTTGCACATCAAATTTGAGATAATATTAATAACCAAGAAGTAGTTGAAGGAGAGGTTAAATGCACGTGGCTAGTTATATTGAAAGGACAAAAATCTTGTAGTGTTGTCTCATTTGTCAGTGTTTTCTAGCACATGACAAGTTTGTCTGAATTATAATATTGTAGCATAGCACATGAGCATATTCTTAGGGTCCATTAGATTTTGTTTCTCAATAATGCTACATGGGAAAAGTCTCAAGTACAGTTTATGAGCCTATGTACGAAAGAATTAGCATTTCCAAGTAGTGCCTTGTTTCGTCTGAAGTGGAAAGGGCAAAAATGGTTGCCCGGGCCATTTCGTGGAAAGTGAAAAGCTATTTGAGGACACGGTTTTATTCAACCTAGAAATATGCTGGAGGACCAGGTAACACTTAGTATAAAGAGGAAGTATCTATTGTTCATAAATTGGTAGTATGGGAACTGTTCATGTAATATTGTTGTAAGCTGCAAGAACATTTTCTTTTTGGATTTATTTTCCTTTTCAATATTGTATTCATTTTCTGATGGCCCACTCAGGTTAAATGCCTGATCTGTGTAGCTCTCAGGTTTTCAGTTATCAAAGGACTTATGATCATGGACTGAATTTGCCCTTTGGATACTGGATTCCATTCAGAACCTTAGTGTTTGCTTCCTATATTCATTAGCCCCTTCATAATATTGACTTCGATATGCATCAAATTATAAATTACTTTTCCACTCTTCTAAAATTGTTCTACCGCTGAGGAAGTATATATTTTAAACATTAAATTGTACTAACCTTTAACTATTCTGAAATTATTGAATGATTTTTCTAGTTACAGTATCTGTAGAAATAGAAAGGATCTCTTTTTAGCCATGTCTTTTATGGTTGGGGAAATGCTTCTGGAGAGGAATAATATTCTTATTAAGTTTGTTTCATGAAACTTAGGTGGTCATTGTGTGAGTTGAGATGCTCAATGTGCAGAAACACTTTATGCTAGTTGTCTCATTAGCAATTTATCATGGGTGCAACATAGTGAAGAGAAGTGAGTAAAACAGGGATTGTTCCTCGACCTGAAAGCAGCTAGGATCAACCTGCATGTGTAACGCTACTGCTAGAGAATAGAGATGTTCTCTTTAAAAGAGTCATGCAGATTTCATGAGATTCTGCACTATGTACATTTTTCTCATTTACTATTCTGGTTGCGCTCGTGCACAAAATAAGCCAATTACTGCAGCTTTAACAGAGGGTTATTGAGTCTAGATTCATTGGGCTTGTCTTCCATATGCTTAATTGTTTCCTTCAATAACCTTTCTTATTATTTTCCCTCTGCAGTGAATTCTGGAGTAGAAACAGCTATTGGGAGTTGTTGTCTTTCTCTGTTAGTCTTCTGTAGAGGAAACAATATCATACGATGTCTAGCCCAGCAAAAGCACTGGAGCCTGCATTTCAGGGAGCGGGGCAGAGAGTGTATCCTTTCTTATGCTAACAAGACTTGATAAGCTAACTAATTTGCTTAGTATTTCTTGTACAATGAAAAAAAATAAAAATAAAAGATAAATATTTATTACTGCAATTCCATGAGTGCTTTTGTTTTTAACGTTTATTGGCTAGAAGTTTCACTTTTTGGATGATCTTAACACTTCACAGAGGGACTGAAATCTGGAGAATTGAAAACTTCCAACCAGTTCCTTTGCCTAAATCTGATTATCGTAAATTCTACTCTGGAGATTCATACATTTTATTGCAGGTTTGTATGGTTCTTTTTTCTGCTTCTTGCTAGTTCAGAGTTTAAATTTGATGAGATTGAATGGTTAGTTAATTAGTTATCTTTTCTTAAAATCAGAGAACGAAAAAATCAATAAGCCTTTTAAACTTCTTACACGCCTATTCTTTTCTCTGTAGACAAGTCCTGGCAAGGGAGGTGCTTATCTTTACGACATACACTTCTGGCTTGGAAAGGACACTAGCCAGGCATGATCTCATTCTTCTTTTCTTTTTTAGAAGTACTCCCTTTGTATTTATTTCATCGAGTTTAAGCTTTTCTTTTTTAAGTTTATTTATTTATTTATTTTATTTCTCAGGATGAAGCAGGAACAGCAGCTATCAAAACTGTTGAACTCGATGCCATTCTTGGTGGCCGTGCTGTGCAGCATAGAGAACTACAAGGCCATGAATCTGACAAATTCTTGTCATACTTCAAACCGTGTATCATTCCGTTGGAAGGTGGCGTTGCATCTGGATTTAAGGAAGCTGAAGAAGAAGAATTTGAAACTCGACTATATATTTGTAGAGGAAAACGTGTTGTAAGATTGAAGCAGGTAAAAGAGAATCCACGTGTCGATGGTATTATATTCAAAGCAATACCTCAAAATCATAGAATGACAATGTACTTTGGTTCTTCGTGTTATGCAGGTCCCCTTTTCCCGCTCCTCACTCAATCATGACGATGTTTTTATTCTTGACACTAAAGGCAAGATATATCAGTTCAATGGTGCAAACTCCAACATTCAGGAAAGGGCCAAAGCATTAGAAGTAATTCAATATTTGAAGGAAAAGTACCATGAGGGGATGTGTGATGTTGCCATTGTTGGTAAGTACAATCCTATGCACCACGGTTGTCATGCTTTTCTGTCCTTTCCAGTATGAAACCTGTTTCTATTTTAAGACCGCTACTTATTCTATTTGATTTGTCTGTAAATGTTGTTAACTCTCCAGATGACGGGAAATTGCAAGCTGAAACAGATTCTGGTGAATTTTGGCTCCTCTTTGGCGGGTTTGCTCCAATTGGCAAGAAGGTTGCTACTGAAGATGATATTGTTCCAGAGAAGACCCCTCCCAAGCTTTATAGGTTATTATTCTTCCAAGTCTAATTGTATATTATCTTCAAGTTAGATGCTTTCACATTGCAAATATTATAGGTTCATTATACTTATGTAGAAATTGGTAGGTCTATTATAAACGGAAAGCGCTAGAAAGTTTGTTTAGTTGGTTTCGCTGTCATGCTCATTGTCGATGGTGATACTGAATCAGGAATGATGAGATCATCTGCATCATACTTTTTGCCTTTCAATCTGGTCTTAAGTGAGATTCAAGCGATTGAGTTGAACTCCTTTCGTGAATAGTAAGATTCAATTTATCGAGTTGAAAGATAGTTCAAGAAAATAAAGTAAAATCAGAGATATCAACTGGTTGCATTTTCAGGTCAAATTATTATAGTAAAATTAAAGTATTGCACCGCATGTTAATAGCTGGGAGTTTTCTGGCAGTATAAGGAAATATCCTGTTTTCACCACTCTTTCATTTCTTCTGCCACTCTCATTCTCTCTCATCTTAGCCACCGAGATGGGGTGGGGTCTGGAAGTTATCAGGTGTTAATTCGGTACTTCACATCGTTAACAAATGGAATTCTCATGATTCTAACGGAAAGTCTCTGCTCTTGTTCATAAAAAATGTTGAGGAATGTCTCACTAATGTTTAAGGACCTTGTTTGTGTAATATTAATTAATTTCTGCCAAGTGGGATATAATTCCACCTTTAATAGTCTCTAGCATACGATTGTATTTGCTTTTCTTTGCTTAATTTTCTTTGCACTCTTGATGACATTTGTTCAATCTTGTATTGCAGAGACTTCTTTGTTTTAATTAGCTGTTTTACTTTTAATTTCTATACACATGCGTAAGTTGGTTGATTTGTATCTGTTTGTATGTGCTTTCTTATTTTTTGATTATGTAGTTGAGCTTCTTCGCCGGATCATGTTTCTGGTCAAACTTCTTAATCAGTTATTGAATTGAGGAACTAAATTAACGTTCCTCTTTTGCTTTTCTGCAGTATTATCGATGGTCAAGTAAAAGATGTAGATTGTGAGCTTTCCAAGTCAAGTTTGGAAAACAATAAATGCTATCTGTTGGATTGTGGTGCTGAGGTATTTGTTTGGGTTGGCCGGGTAACACAAGTAGAGGAGAGGAAAGTTGCAATTCAAGCTGCTGAGGTAGATGCTTATTTTTGCATATTCTGAGCATGTCTGCTAAGCTTAAAAAAGTTCACTTATAAGTGGACAAGTTTTAAATAAATTTTTTTTTGGGTCAAAGTTTGATGCAAACAGAATACTTATTTTTATAATGAGGTAAGAGTTATTTTCAAAAAGAGTAACTTTGTTTACATACAAGTTATCCTCATATGTTTGGAAACAAAAAGTTGCTTTTTTAAGCTTAGCCAGACATGCTTTATATTGCATATGTAGCTTGGAAGCTCACTGGTGTACTGTATTCCCCAGGATTTTGTGGCTAGCCAAAATAGACCAAAGTCAACACATATACTTCGGCTTATTCAAGGTTATGAGACCCATTCATTTAAATCCAACTTTGACTCTTGGCCGTTGGGGTCAGCACCTTCGGTTGCTGAGGAGGGAAGGGGGAAAGTAGCAGGTATATCTCATTCCCGTCTTCTTAAAAATATGCTTCATATTTTCTGGACATTATTAAGTTCTGAAGCCACTGTGCTTGCTGGTAGCTTTCCTGAAGCAGCAAGGTGTTGGCGTCAAGGGAGCAAGCAAAAGTGCTCCTGTGAATGAAGAGGTGCCCCCATTGCTCGACGGAGGCGGAAAAATAGAGGTCTCGCTGCTAACATGTTACCTGGTTATTCTGGGGTTAGCTCGATTATATTTATTATGTTGAAAAATTTAAATTTCAAATATTGTACTTTCCTAGGTTTGGCGTATCAATGGCAGTGCCAAAACTCCAGTTCCCGTTGAAGATATTGGGAAATTTTTCAGCGGAGATTGCTATGTTGTCCTCTATACTTACCATTCTAATGATCGGAAAGAAGATTACTACTTGTGTTGTTGGATTGGAAAAGACAGCATCGAGGTAATATACATTCTCACTACTCATTAGCTGTACATCACAATTTATCTTAAACATGTGCTCTGTTGAGGATATTTGACTTGAGAAAGAAATAAAGGTTTAGATTAAAGATGTGATCAACATAGTTTTGGAATTTCCTGTTGGATCTAAAGATGAATTATTTTGTACAGATCCTTCTACCAAATTAGTATTGCTTTCTATATTTAACTACTTATATATTGATATCATCTGTTAAATGCATTTTGAAATAATGATTATTTTCAATTCTACCTTAGTACAAAGAATTGGAGATTCTTTTTGTCCTGTACACCTTTCAATATAATTTTTCCATTCAACACATTATCCTTGTATTCATAAATACACATATTTTCATATTTGCCAAAACCATGTTGCTTCTATTTAGCCCTTGCTTGGTTTGGCTAAAAACCAGATTTTTATTAGATCTTGATAAAAGTTCATGAAATGTGTGGTTGAAAAGTTGATAAAAGTTCTGGGTCCCATATAATGTGTGGTTGAAAATGAGTTTGGGAAAAAAAGGGAAAAAAAAAAAAAAAGAGTTCCCCAAAACTGGGGCCAATCAGGGGCTTATTCTGAAGTTTGTGGAGTCATTAGCAAGACTAAATTCTGCTCTTTTCAGGAGGACCAAAAGATAGCTGCCCAATTGGCTACTACAATGTGTAACTCAATGAAAGGGAGACCAGTACAGGTATCATTACGAGAACAATGAATGAAGCTTGATAACTTCACTGTTAAGCGTAGAATACATATTTTTTATTAGTCAAAGTTCAAAATGAGTTACTGAAGTTTACTTTTAGAAAAAGTTATTTTTTTCTTGTCAGTTAAGAAAAGTAGGTTATCCGAACATATTTAGAGGCACAAAGTTATTTAAAATAACTCTATTTTTTAAGCTTAGCTAAACACAAAATGTTTTAGTGTTAGACAATGCAAGGTACAGGTTTAAGACTGAGTAATGCCTCATGCAGGGTCGGATACTTCAAGGAAAAGAGCCGCCCCAATTCATTGCCATCTTTCAGCCAATGGTCGACCTTAAGGTGCCCTTTCAGCTGCATGGAATACAAATAAGAAAAAGAAAGAATATTAGGTTAGTCATAGATTGAAAAGACAAGTGAGGTCTTGCTTTAACCATCTTGAATTTTTCATTAGGGTGGCATGAGCTCTGGTTACAAGAATTATGTAGCTGACAAAGGTTTGAATGATGAAACTTACACTGCCGATTCTGTTGCACTTGTCCGGATATCTGGAACGTCTGTGCATAACAACAAAGCTGTTCAAGTTGATGCTGTACGTACATCAACTTAATTGTCACTTGGGTTACTTCAATGTGTGGCTTTCCAACTCCTCAGTCTTTTATGGATTATATTGCTTGAGATAACTTCTTTGCCTGTTGCAGTAATACTTCAGTATCTAATTTAATTTTGTTTTATCTTTTTAGGTGGCAACTTCATTGAACTCGTATGAGTGTTTTCTTCTGCAATCTGGATCTTCAATCTTCAGTTGGCATGGTAATCAAAGTACCTTTGAGCAGCAACAGTTAGCTGCCATAGTCGCAGAGTTTCTCAGGGTAGGCACTTCGTAGAAGAATCTATTGTTGTCTTTCGTTCGTTTCTTATTCTCATTATTAGAACTTCAATCAATCCTTGTCTTTCATTCTAAACTAGTATGTGAGCCCGGGGTGTCACCATAAGAAAAAGGATAAGAACCATGAAAATTTATCAGTTTGATGTTAAGGAGTTGGACCCTTCTATCAAATCTTTTTCAAAAATGTCGAGTCCACTTTAAGTGTGAATGCATATAGGATCAATTCTTATAAAAAAAATTCATATTTGATATTAGATGCGATATGAAGGTAATGATTTGAGTTGTCTCAAGATTAGAGATGAAATAGAATCAAATGTCCAACTACCTTCCTTCGAAACGTGTTGTTTGAATGTTTAGTGTGGGGGGTAAGGTTGTCTTTCCTTTGTTGAAGGATTTACAGAAGGGATGTCTATGGTTACACTGGTGAATATTAAAATGATAACATAAAATTTAACTTCTTTTACTTGTAATTATATCTGCGTGCTTCTTGTATTCCAATTAACAACTTCAATTTTCCAATTCCTTTATAAACACAGCCGGGAGTAACTGTAAAACATGCAAAAGAAGGAACTGAGAGCTCAGCCTTTTGGTTTCCGCTTGGAGGAAAACAAAGTTACACCAGCAAGAAAGTATCTCCTGATGTTGTCAGAGATCCCCACTTGTTTGCATTCTCTTTTAATAAAGGTTTGAATCCTTTCTTATGCAGTTATGTTAGTTCCTGTTAAGTAGTTTTTTTGATTATGAGCATGTTGTCTAAGCTTAAAAGAAGGAAAAGAGTTTGTTGCCAAACATGTTTGGGATATGTTACAGCGAATAAAGTTGGTTATTTTGAAAGTAACTCTTACCTTATCATCAAATTAAGCACTCAGTTATTTTAAGTTTAATTAATCAAAAATTTTATTTGAAAACTTGTTTTATACGTGATCATTTAAAGAGAAGTTAAACATGCTCAATTGAATCTTGAATCATCTTGTAACGTTGGGCATCTTCTGACTATTTCTCTTGTGGTGCTGCTACTACTGCAATGCGATCGCCAGGAAAGTTTGAGGTGTGTTCTGGGAAAATCATTTATGGAGTTCCAGCATTCTTATTTATACATCATAGACTTGTGTATCCTGAATAATACCTATAATATCAGGTTGAAGAAATTTACAACTTCGCTCAAGATGACCTTTTGACTGAGGACATATTGATACTCGACACACATGCTGAAGTGTTTGTTTGGGTTGGTCAATCAGTAGACCCCAAAGAGAAGCAAAATGCTTTTGAAATTGGGCAGGTACTTGCTGAAGGTTTTGTAACCATTTTAAATTGTTAAAATTGTTTTCATCTTGTGCTTTTTAACCACATAAGCTTATTGCAGAAATATGTAGACATGGCTGCTTCATTGGAGGGTTTGTCTCCAAATGTTCCACTATACAAAGTCACGGAAGGAAATGAGCCATGCTTCTTCACCACGTACTTTTCATGGGATCCTGCAAAAGCTAGTGTATGTCACAGGATTTTCTCTTCTCTCGAGTTTTACCAAAATATTTTATTTTAAATTACATTGAATGAGATATTTGCTTAATGTCATCTTCTGAAGCAATTATTTCCACAATTGTGAATTTGAGACCAACACCATGGTTTATATTTTGCAAACAGAAGCTCAAAATCAAACGTAACTTGCAAGTATTTTTAAGATTAACCAAACATAATTGTAATTGGGTAACATGAGCATCTTCTTAGATGAGTTGTACACGTACTAGATGAGATCAGCTTGAGCTTGAACCTTCTTTAATCAATTTTTTCTGTAAGACATTATTATGCTTGTCTCATCTAAATTCTTTTATTATGCATGGTTTATGCTAATGGTGAAAATGTTTTCTTTTCTTTCACTGAGCAGGCACAAGGAAATTCATTCCAGAAGAAGGTTATGCTATTCTTTGGGGCAGGTCACGCTGTGGAGGTAAAATCGAGATTTATTTGTGTAAAGCAACGAACCTCAGTTTTCAATTTTCTTTTAGTTGTCTTATAAGTTGAGTGTCATCTGCAATTTGTCTCAACTTTTTTACTAGTTTTTTATCAAATATAAAAAGAAGGAAAGGAATATAAAAAGATCTCTGCGTAAATCTTCTTTAGTAGTTTGATCTCTTTCGTCACCTCCATTCCCTCCTATCCTTGCCAAAGTTTTCCTGCCTGAATATCATGTTCATGAATTAAAATTTGAGTTTTGGATTATACTTCAAGAATTTTTATCTCACCTGCGCTGCATTATGTCCTCATGCGTGTTCTGGTACGTCTGATATGAACTCTTCCGAAGTATTAATGTTATCCACATTTTTTACAAGTGTATGATGTGAAGCTGCAAATATCAGAAGTTATATTGAATGCTGATGCTCTCCAAATGCATTATGTCACCTCGGATTGTTTGGGATTTTGTATGAAATATATATTGACTTCGTATATGCTCTTCAATGACCAGGAGAAGTCGAATGGGTCGAATTCCGGTGGAAAAACTCAAAGAGCTTCAGCTTTAGCTGCTTTAAACTCCGCATTTCATTCGTCTCCAGTGCCAAAACCTGTTTCTGCCCCAAGATCAGGAGGAAAAAGCAAAGGGTCACAAAGAGCAGCTGCAGTAGCAGCTTTATCATCTGTTCTCACTGCCGAAAAGAGTGGATCACCTGATGTTTCTCCAGTCCGGCTGAGTACAAGCCCATCAGTAGAAGCCAGCCGTCCTGGTATCAGAATTATCCCTTCTTATATGCTGTATCATTCTTGAAGCATCATTTTGTTTTAAGTTATTTTCAGCATCTCTTTATCTCAGTCGAAGTTTTATATTATTTGGTTGCTAGAGACGAGACTTTTTATAGATGCTGTAAATGTAAAAAACTGCAGTTTCCCGAAATAACATTTCGTCTAAATTGTAGCCACAACAAAGATCGGAAGTCCTCAAGAGGTTGAAAATTCTAAAGAGTCTTCAGAAGTCAAGGAAACCGAGACAGTCGAGCCTTTTGTTGAGGCTAACGGAGAGGAGTCAGAACCTAAGCGAGAAAGGGAACAGTATGAGAATGACTCTGAAAGTAGTCAAACTAAGTTTCATTATGAGCAGCTGAAGGCTAAATCTGACAATCCTGTCACTGGCATTGATTTCAAACGAAGAGAGGTTTGACATATCATTACTATCAGAAATTTTGTGTATAATATGTCTATGTCACGTTAGTAATGTTGTTTCGGGTTTAATATTGGTCAATTTCCAGGCTTATCTCTCGGATGAAGAATTCCAGGTCGTATTTGGAATTACAAAAGAAGCATTCTATAAGTTGCCCAAGTGGAAGCAAGACATGCAGAAAAAGAAATTCGATCTCTTCTAGGGTCGAACTCGAAAACCAAGTGCTTTTCCCGTCTCTTTCTACACTTGCAAGCTGTTTATTGGACGTATATACATCCAGTTCGACCTACTTTTATATGTCATCGTGCCTGGATTACGAACTTAGAATTTTGTATCAATTTTTGGTTATTATGTCGTGTTCGTGTGAAAAGTGATTTTTTTTTTTTTTTTAATATCTCATCTTCAACTACTACTGTATGTTTCTTGATCCACAGATTGTAGTTATAACGACTTCGGGCAGGTTCAAATTCTTTGATTTTGTTGGATATGTTCCTTAGTTTGTGACTATTGAAGTTTTTTTTTCCTTCTCCCTTTTTGATCCATCTTTTTTACTTATTTGTGATTAAAAGGGTGTATATGTATTGCATTTGTAATTGAACTCCATGTAGATGACTTTGTCTAATATAAAATGCGTCGTAATCTTATTGTTAACATTGTACTCGTGTGAATGCCGGTGAAACTCTATTGAACTACAGAGTTAAACTTACTTTTTATCTACACGTTTTGTGATAGACTCAAGTACTACTTATTATCCATCATTCATTTCTATCTGTTTATAATATAAATCGATCATAATCACCAACCGAGAATGATAAAAAATATGAGATAATTAGATGGAACTTCAAAATTCTATATGGTATCAAATTAAATAAAGTTTTAATGAACAAGTAGGTCAATCTAAAGCTTCAATTAGTAAAATTTGGCGTGCCCAATTTGATGTACATAGTTGATATGATTGGCTGCAAGTGGCATCGATTTTGGTCTTATTTCGTGTAAATTTTTCGTCCATTCATACACTTCTCCATATCGTACGTGACTTCCAAACGTGTTGAACTAGTTTCAAAAATCAAACTCCTCATGAATGTTCGAAATCGAATCCCTCGTAAATATTCAAAATCAATACTTTAATAAAACAAATCCAAGATAGGCTATATTCATTCTTCTTTTAAATTAAAAATCTTAAAGTTTTAACAAATTAGATTGATATCCAACATTTTTTTTTAGCTTAGTTCTTGAATTAGAAAATATAAAACATTTTAAAGCAATTTTTAATTTTCTAGTAATTTCATCTACAAGATTTCAACGTGTGAGAGAGAAGATAGGACTTAGAAAGGATATCCTATGGTCCGAAACATATGGCTAACACTTACACAACCGCTCCCTCTACTCCCTGTCCCAAAAACGGTATTGGGTTCGTCGCCGACATCGGAATCCGAGTTCGATTCGCTGGTCATTCAACTCACAAAGTCGCGGCAGTAACCTCCGGTATGTCCACTCCATCCACTCTCTCCAATGCCATTCTTCCCGCCCGGAACAATCTAGTCTTCGTTAAAGGCGGACCAACTCGCAGACATTCCGTTCGATTTGACTCAGTTGGTGCCACTCGCTTGACTCACCACTGTCTCTACTCTCCGCCATTTCGTGTCTCCGCCACTGCTTCCACCAAGGAGCAATCTAGCTCTACAGGTCACATCTCTCTCCAAATTCACATATTCAAATATGGAAAGACAAGGTACTTAATACTTATTGCATGCATATTGATAGAGTTTGTGTGATTACTGGTTAATTAAAATTCACTGGGAAAATTATACAAATTGGAGCATACATTTACAAGAAAGATTGAAAATTGCACCAGTGAGAGAGTTGACTTGATGATTTTTGGATGATGACTTAAAGGAAGAGCCGATTTTAGGAATTTAGAAGGAAAATAAATGGTAAAAACTATGAATTTGGGAAGAATGTGTATACTTTGCACCCATATTGTAAAGAACTTCTATATGCAGCGTAATTACTGCACCTTGAAGTCATCAGCCACAAAATTAATTCAAGAATGCGGTCCTGAATACAGTGCAAAATGTTACACAATACTGGGAAAAATCTGTGTGCAGTGCACTCATGAGTGGCTGCGGCTTTTTCTACTATGATACCAACTGATTAACAACCGTCATCCCTGCCTGATGCCCCCCTGTGCGAGTATAGGAGCTCTTCATTCACAAGGTTTATGAGAATTTAGCTGCATGCTAGGAGGATTAGCTTTTGAGATATTGCTTGTGTTATGGATTAAACAATTAATATATACTACCAAGTGCAATTAGTAACATGAAACATAAAACAAAAGCAAAAAAGAAATTCACGATTAAGAGCAGTTCACTCTCAATGCAATGCAGCTCAAGTGCTATGCCTACTTCATTCTGTGGCAGAATTTTGCTATATCGTTGAAGAATGATTATCTCACTCCTCTCTGCTTTTCTCTATACGCCTAGACTGGCACAAAAAGGCTTGCCATAATACCCCTTATAAAATTATTAGGAAAACATAGTACATGAACAAACTATCCATTATGCCCTTATAATAAATAAACATTTTAATTAGGCTCTACACATAACAATTTCCCACTCGAAGACTAGAACTCCAAACATTCATGGTTTCCAACTTGGATCTTCTCTAGTGCTAAAACTCCATCATCCAAAATTGCTCATATGAAATGTTATCACTCCCACAAGGCCAAAGTCCTAGCCCCCAACTTCATTAGCCATAAATCCATCTCATTAATTGGTATTTCTTTTCGATTGGGTTTAACCAATATGTATTTAAATAATAAGAAAGTCTTGTATATTTTTTCACCAGTGGCTACAAATACTTGGTTGCTATAATATTATACTTAATGGCCTTGATGTTCCCATCTTGCAGCTCAGGATATTGAGAATCTGGTAATTATAGGATCAGGTCCTGCAGGATACACTGCAGCAATTTATGCCGCTCGAGCCAACTTGAAGCCTGTAGTGTTTGAGGGCTATCAAGTAGGTGGTGTTCCTGGAGGACAGTTGATGACGACAACTGAAGTAGAGAACTTCCCTGGGTTTCCGGATGGAATAACTGGTCCAGACTTAATGGACAGGTACTTGAATTTTTTGCAAATGTTGCTACATTTGTATTGATCTGTAGTAATGTTCACATTAGTTGCTTGAGTTGCTATTCGAAGAGATCAGAATCTGTACATTGTCAATTTCACTAGGATACGGAAGCAAGCTGAGCGCTGGGGAGCAGAGTTATTTCAAGAAGATGTGGAATTAATAGATGTGAAGAACATTCCATTCATTGTGCAAAGTAGTGAACGCAAGGTGATGCTTCCTTTCAGTTCAGGTTATGTTATATGCACATTGCATTATTTGCTGAACGACATGAAACAAAACCTAATGATGTCAGATCTGAGAAAACCATTATTCAAGAATCCCATACAGTGGTTCAATATTTCCTTACACAAAAAATTCTAAATTTTGTTGCCTTCTGGGCAAGATATAAGGTCCTGTGCTTGTATTTGTACTATACTTTTTTTGTGCTGAGCTTGTTTAAACTGTTTTCTCTGCGTGCTGAAGTCCTGTAGCGGTGTAAAAACAATCTTGTAGAATGATTAAAAACATATTGTTGTTCCATTTAAATGCCCATTTTATGCAAATGTTAAGTACATAGCCTTTGTCACTTCTGCAGTGCACATATTCTCGTAGACATATTTGAATTATCAAATAAATAGTATATGAATGTATGCACATTGAGAAGAATAATCACTCTTAATGTGAAGTTTCTTTCTCGGAATGTAACGAATAGAGACATGACTTGGACACGTGTTTGACATGCTGCATGGCATATATTATATTTTTTTATACTTTTAAAATCATAATCAGCTTGTTCACCTCCTACATTTTTGAAAATCACACGTCAACATATCCATGCTTCATAAAATGTTTTTCGCCTATTATGCACAGTCATGTATTTTTTATGAATGTTCCACTTATTGTTGATAGTTAATTCAGTTCAGTGGACACAGTATTCTGATACGTGATTCTGTAAACCTTAGCTTCTGGCTGTACTGCATATTTGGTTAATCTTCTTTACTTTGCAGGTAAAATGTAATAGTCTTATTGTTGCTACGGGAGCCACTGCAAAGAGGTTGGGGTTACCTCGTGAAGATGAATTTTGGAGTAGAGGAATTAGTGCTTGTGCAATATGTGATGGAGCATCGCCATTGTTTAAAGGTCAAGTCCTCGCTGTGGTTGGAGGGGGTGATACAGCTACAGAGGAAGCATTATATTTAACGAAATATGCCCGCCATGTTCATTTGCTTGTACGCAGTGACCAACTAAGGGCTTCAAAAGCAATGCAAGATAGGTGAACACAATGTGTTTCTGAAATCACAAATTTCTTGCCCATCTTTTGCATGAAATTGCTTCAATTTGCATGTCAATTTCAAAATCTGTATAGCTCTTGTTTTTGTCTATGTGTTTCTCTTTCAGAGATCTTAGCTGAAATGTCTTGTTTCAAAAATTTCTAAATATCTATGATGAAGTTGGATATTCTGATTTAGTATGAAAGGGCATGATGTCACAACACCATAATTTAACTTGGAAATTTTTGTTGTATTCTGATATGGATGTGCCATGGCAGTCTTTGTTTCATTCATAATGGTTGTTTTCAAACTTGTTGATTGCCCTCTGGTCATTCTGCTGCTGCTATGTCTTTCAAGGTTTTGTGTTTTATTTGTTTATGCATCATTTCAGGTGAACTGAATTACTGATGAACAGTGTGTTTAAGTTTCAACTCCGTGGATATTTGTTTAACAGGTTGATTATGGCGAATGTTTCAGAGTTTTTAACAATCCAAACGTCACCGTGCACTTCAATACAGAGACTGTGGACGTTGTCAGCAATGCGAAAGGGCAGATGTCGGGCATTTTGATAAAAAACAGGGACACTCGAGAAGAATCAGTGCTGGAAGCAAAAGGCTTGTTTTATGGAATAGGTCATTCACCAAATAGCCAGTTGTTGGAAGGACAAGTTGATCTTGATGGAGCAGGCTATATTTTGGTCGAGGAGGGCACTGCAAAAACTTCTGTAGAAGGTGTATTTGCTGCTGGAGATGTGCAGGTACATATAGCCTAAGTTTTTCCTTATAAGAACAACTCTTTTACTCGTCATTGTTATCCGG